GGTGGAGTGGAATTAAAGGAACTCTAGCTGTGGTGGTTGACAAGCCTTTGAGGGATGGGATGACTGGAAGCCTTTTTGAGTAAAAGGGGTGAATTGGAAGTGTTTTGTAAAAGGGGCGCGAATTACATGTGTCATTGAGTTGAAACGAAGCGCTATCGTAAATTGACTGATGCTTTACATCGGATAGAGGGAGGCAACAGATTCTGAGTGTCCTCTTCAGGTCGGGGAGATGGATGGCGGAAGAGGAAAAAGTTAACGCGAATTTCTTATCTTGAAGAGTGAAATGATACTGGCGGGGATTATTGTAGCCCAGATAAAATAGAAGATAATTTACAAGTGGTAATTATGAATATATATATATATGTGTGTGTGTGTGTGTGTGTGTGTGTGTGTGTGTGTGTGTGTGTGTGTGTGATGGCTGCCACCTCGTTGTCGAGTATGACCATTGCAAGAATCAATTATGACTTTTGATATCAAGCAGTGGCTGTGCCTTGAATTTACAAAATCACGCTCTAAGCAAGAACAGCATGCACCCCACCCCACAAAAAAAACGAGTGGACAGCATCACTGGATACTGTCAAGTTGCAGAAATTACTTCAGATTTTTTTCTTCACACTCACAAGCGCGAGCACCCACATAGATACACACAATTGCATATATATATATATATATATATATATATATATATATATATATATATGGGGTGTATTGTGTGTAGTTATGCATGTTTCATTAAATAATATAGACAAGTTTTGTCTATTTATTTTATGTAAATTCTTTTCATATCGTCTGATAATTTCCATGACTCAATGCATAACTTCCTCCAGTTTATCGTAGAAAATAGCCAAAATCAAAATTGAACACCCTTAACTGCAACAAAGAGGACATCTACGATAAACGAAAAGACATGACTGCCCCGGACCAACTGGAGGAAATTACGCATAGACTCACGAAAATTATCAGACGATATGAAAAGAATTTACATAAAATAAATAGACAAAACTCTGTGTGTGTGTGTGTGTGTGTGTGTGTGTGGAACAAATAGGAAACGTATATCAATTTAACATGTTTCACTTTGATTAAAGCTTCGTCAGAGATTGAGAAAGAAAACAGATAAAAAGACAGAAACAGCGGTATTTTCAATTATGCTGAGGCCAGTTCTCATTCGTCAGACGCATGTGTAAATATGGGGCGTCTATTTCAAATACAACATATCCACAATAATAACGTTTGAAATAATAAGAATGTTGGATTAGAAATAAATCCATTAATTCTTATATATATATATATATATATATATATATATATATATATAGTCATCCACTGACTGACTGTTTCGCTATATCACAGATCATCAGTGTGATTACACATCCAACTGCCGAAAGCCGGCCGATTTGACATCAGTCAGAGTTTCTATTGTCGCACGGCATAGCGGAAGAAAATTTTTTAACGTTTTTACTATACGAAAGACGTCAGTAGCTAGGTGAGCTCGATTCAAGTAGAAGAGCATTGAATTAGCAGAAGCATTCATTTTTATAACATCACGCTTTCCTCTCCGAAAGCTCAATCAATTGTTTCGAAAGCATCTATCTCTCTCTCTCTCTCTCTCTCTCTCTCTATATATATATATATATATATATATATATATATATATATATATATATATATATATATATATATATATATATATATATATATATATATATATATATATATATATATATATATATATATATATATATATAATATAAAAGGCTTAAACACTAATATTCCATGGTCATAATTTATTCCATTGGAATCGTAAATACGATCCAATTCATCAGACCTACAAATTCAAAAAGAAAACAGAAAAAACAACTCCGGGAATAAAAAATAAAATTTAGTGAGAGTGTATGTATGAGAGTGTGGGACGAATGTTAGAGTAAATGAAAGCTATAGGGAGGGGGTAACAGAGGAGAGAAGAACAGGAGAAGAACAGGAAGGTCTAAAGATGGAGGGGGGATTAAAATTTAGCAGAGAGAAGTTTTAAAGAGGGACGTCAAAGACGGTTTAAGTGAGAGAAATATAAATGTTCTCGGATGTCTAATACATTAAAGATGTAACCGGAAAGGATACATTTTGTGGTGATATACACACACAATAGACAATATAATCTTAAAGGTCAGAAGATGAGAGGGGGAAAAGAAAAGAAAAAGGGATGGGCAAGAGAGATGGGGTGGGGCGAACTAAAGCAGAAGGGCATTTATAAAAGGGCCGCTTTGTAATTAAGAAAATTTGACAAAATTAATATCGACTACAGGTTACAAATCAAATATAAACATATAAAAAGAAAGAAACATAACGATTATCTAATCTAGCAAGGACCTATATTTCTATGTTCAAAAACACATGCGTATACACACATACACAACAACACAGACAGAATCATTGACCCCATTGCTCCTTACCATATATATATATATATATATATATATATATATATATATATATATATATATATATATATCCCATGTGCTTTAGATTGCTCGGCCATGGAGTGCGTCGATGATCAAGCAAAGACGAATATTGCCTTTAAACGCAAATCTTTCCCAGACTCTTGAAACTGTTCGTATGTTATCACAAAACAACCAATTTCTAAAAACTGACGAATCCTTTATTTTTTAATCCGACAAATTTTATTACTTAAATTTTAAGTTAGGATAAAATCTGAGTATATATATATATAATATATATATATATATATATATATATATATATATATATATATATATGGATGTTCTGATAAACAGAAACAGATAAAGATAGATAAATAAGAGTTTAATTGCGGAGATACAAGATTCTTTTATGTGTCATATTCCTTCAACGCCTGGGCAGTCATGGCTCTCCACGACATCGTGACTGCACAAAGTAAATTTTGACACTTACCCAGTTTTCCGACTTCCGTAATTTTTTTCATTTTTGTGATTGATTGATTTGGTTTTTTTACGGCTTATCAACACGTTTCTCTGATTTCCCATTCCGAGTATCTGTTACACCACGCCGGATTGAAGTTTCAGATTGATCAGTTTTCTTGCTGCTCTTACAGTGCAAATGTGGCCGCTCTGTAAGCAGTGTACACTACGGAAGAATAAAGAGGTGTGATAAGATTTTTCTTACCGGAAGATGTGTCAAGGGCTGACTTTCATCGGAAGCTTTTAACATAATACGGCAACAATGCACTGCCGCGGAGAAATGTGTACAAATGGATCGAAAATTTTAAAATTGGCCGGACGAAGGAGCAGGACGCTCGTCAGTCTCCACCGCCTGATGAGAAGATTCAGCAAGCTTGAGCGATGATAATCGCGAGTTATCATCGATGGGGTAGCATGTTCTCTGCAGATTTGTTCATCATTGGTGCACACTGCTGGCAGAGGGGTCATGTTTGCACTGTAACAGCAGCTTGAAAACTGGCGCGATTAACCTCAAACTTCGATCACAGGACCACATTTTTTTTTACTTCAATAACAATGTAATAAAATCATCAAAAATTAATCAAAACTCATAATAAAACAATAACAAACATATAAGTCTTTGAAGAATTTACATCTTGATATAGTAATCCTTCTTCTCCTTAACAGCCAGTAGTCTATCATTCATTGATTTTGTTATTTTTTTTTTTTTTTACTTCAGCAGGCCGTTCTGAGTATGACGATAAACTACATCCACGTGCTGGGTAAAACGATAAACTACATCCGCGTCCTAAGGCGACAAACCACATCAAACAGCAAGACCACTGATCAGGAGGTTTCAGGTGCGTGGAACCACTTCTTAATTGCTGGTGTTCCTAGGTCCACCCTGACCTGGTGTGGTAGCACCTGTCAGGGCCCCAGCTATGGGCAAATAGCTAACCTCCCAAACTGGGGACAAAACACTATGAAAGTATAAAAATAGGTTTTAGTACCAGCAATGCATTTTTGAAGGAGAAATATTACCAGGAATAGAAATCTTGTCGGCATTAAATAATCCATTGAGGTTGATATACCGTAAAACAAAAAAAAACAAACCAATATATACTGAGATAGATAGATGAAAATTATTACCAGGAATAGAAATCTTGTCGGCATTAAATAATCCATTCAGGTTGATATGTCGTAAAACAAAACAAACCAAACCAATATATACTGAGATAGATAGATGAAAAATATTACCAGCAATAGAAATCTTGTTGGCATTAAATAATCCATTGAGGTTGATATGCCGTAAAACAAAACAAACCAAACCAATATATACTGAGATAGATAGATGAAAAATATTACCAGCAATAGAAATCTTGTCGGCATTAAATAATCCATTGAGGTTGATATGCCGTAAAACAAAACAAACCAAACTAATATATACTGAGATAGATAGATGAAAAATATTACCAGCAATAGAAATCTTTTCGGCATTAAATAATCCATTGAGGTTGATATGTCGTAAAACAAAACAAACCAAACCAATATATACTGAGATAGATAGATGAAAAATATTACCAGCAATAGAAATCTTGTCGGCATTAAATAATCCATTGAGGTTGATATGCCGTAAAACAAAACAAACCAAACCAATATATACTGAGATAGATAGATGAAAAATATTACCAGCAATAGAAATCTTGTCGGCATTAAATAATCCATTGAGGTTGATATGCCGTAAAACAAAACAAACCAAACCAATATATACTGAGATAGATAGATGAAAAATATTACCAACAATAGAAATCTTGTCGGCATTAAATAATCCATTGCCGTAAAACAAAGCAAACCAAACCTAACATTCAGCAGGTTCTGTTTCTGATATGGTAGTTTGAATTTCTTCCCATATGCCTGCTTTAGTGCCATATTGTTTGTCACCTTCATATAAGTTTTTCCTCACAACTGACTATAGATTTTTGATCGTCGGGACTTGATCGTGGCCATTCAAATATCCCCTATCTTGTCAAACTTTCACTCAAAAAATTTACATACATGATGAACATTGTCATGTCATCCCCCTCTGTCTCTGCCTGTCTGTCTGTCTGTCTGTCTGTCTCTCTCTCTCTCTCTCTCTCGCTCTCTCTCTCTCTCAATGAAAGTGAGCTAAGAGGAAGGTGTCCATACAGGCGTTTCTTTGTTGGGTGTTTCTTCCAGCTGATATCCAATGCGAACTCGTAACATCTTTGTCTATGTTCCGTCAAGTGATGCTTCTTGGTGTTTTGTTAGTCTCCACATTGTTGAGCCGTAGAGCAAGACACATTGTACCGTGGCCTTAAAGAAGTCTATTTCACAATTCACTTTAAAGAAGTCCATTGTCACACTTCACTTTGAAACGGGAAGGTTGGGATTTAACATTCAAAGAAGGTCTGGTCCATGAAATCGCAATAGTAGCCCTGTTTAGTTTAAGTGCTTCATAGATTTTGAGTGGTTCAATAATTGTTTGGTCATCAATTTCAGCCTATATCATACCACTGTCTCCTCCTTGCTGCCTTCTTTTAGCAACAGGCACATCTGTATCGTATAATATCCATTCTTTAGCCCAACCATCAGGACCATCGAGTGTCATCCGATATTCGTCCGTGAAAATTACTTTAGAAAAATGCAAATTTAATGTATCTTTTTGACGCTTTAAAATATATGCGTTATTGAGAGGAGTTTGCCTAGGCGATTTCTCGACAGAACCCAATTTGCAAAATGTTCTACACCTTTTGTCTTTCTTGACGTCCTCAATTCCAGTTTGTTCAATGATGTGAGCACTGAACAAAAGTGGTTGTTTCGCCGTAACTCGATTTAGTTTCCGTTTCCCACGGAGATCTTAAAGACTTTTTCTTTAGTTCTAGTTCTCAAATTACTTGTTTTTCAACAGCCCTCTTTATTGTCCGATATGCGATTTGCAGGCCGGGGACACTAGAATCAAGCAGATGCCGAAGTTTAGATATCTGGGAAGCGTCTTGACAGAAGACGGTAAGTGCGACACTGACATCTGTAGACGTAGATATGGCCAAGGACACATTCGAAAAGCTGAGCAGAGTATTGCGAGAGAGGAGGATTTCTTTGGTGACAAAGAAAAGAATACTGAGCTGTTACGTGATATCTGTCCTTCTTTACGTTCATCGACTGTTGGACGATTTCCTCAAAGGTGAAGAAGAGACTCGAGACGACAGAGATGTGCTTCTAAGGAAGGATGCTAAGGATATCATGGATCGAGCATGTGAGCAAAGATGAGGTCTTAGATAGGTTACAAACAAGGAGGAGGCTTATACTTAACATCAGAAAGAGGCAACTGAGGTTTCTGGGACACATAATGAGGAAAGAGGGCCTAGAGATTCCGATACTCACAAGTCAAATAGAGGGAAAGAGAGACAAGGGAAAGCAACGCGTGACATACCTGGCGAACTTAAGCAAGTGGATGACAGAATGTGGTCTGGGGGAGGAAGCAGAGGGGAGGAACTTGCTGAGAGTTGCAAGGGATAGAGGGAGGTGGAGAGTCATGATCACCTACGTCCTGAAAGAACATGGCACATAAAATGAAACAAGTGCCTTTCATATCTCTAATATGGACATTCGCTCATTTAATAACTTTGTTATTTTCTGATTTTCAGCATTTATTGGACCCTTTACATGAGCCTAAATAATGGGAAAAAAGGAAAATATTGTTTTTATAAGATTTCAGAGTCCTTAAATTAATATTAGTTTAATCTGCGTAACAACTTCAGTCAGAAGTTTTTATAACAGATAAAAAGGATTTTATAATAAATAAATATTTAAAAAAACTTGTTGAAGCTACCGAAAAATTTAAGCTTTGTTTTAATGTCTAATTTACTCGTTTAAAATTTAACAATATTTTTTCAAAGCAAATTCGATTTATTGAACTTTATGTAATTTGCATAATAACTTCAGAGGGATTATAGACATCAAGTAGAATGTAAATAGTTTCCATTTCTAAAGATGCTGGGAAAAATTCTCGACTCCTTGTACCGTTGAATAAAGTATCAACTCCTCCTGCTATGCTCTGTATTTACAAGTCAAATTAGATCAAAAAATGGGGTATTGCTGCCATGCCCCCACTTTCCAGCCTTGACCGAGTTCATAACCGTTTACAGATTCCCGTAAGAGAAGATCTGTCATTTCCCACTATACAACCTCTTTCCCTCAGACACAACATTGTCATTATTTCTCATGACACAATCCCGATTTCCTTTCTTAGACTGGTTGCCAATAATGGCTAAAGAGCCCTGCCTTTCTTAATATATAATAAAGGGAAACGAGATGGATTCGTATCTTTCGGAACGTTATTTGCGCGTAAGTGTATCGAATCGATTGCTAGGTCTGCTGCAAGAAAGATTTGTTCACTATGTCGTACAAGACATTTTTTACTCGTCGGAATCTATCTTACATATCTACAAGGCTGTCGTTTCTCCATGCATCCACATTTAGCCAAGTGATTCTGTAATATAGCTAGAGATTCTTGATGATATCTAAAGAAGAATCTGCAATGTTATCGGTCCTGACATGACATCTCAGCTTCACCGACTTTCCCACCGCTGTAATGTGCTTCACCGTGCCTTTTCTATAAATATTTACACGGTAGTTGTTCTGATGAACATTCCTCTATAGTAGTTAGAATTATGAATTGAAGCACACTACTAGATTGGCGGCTAGGTCTCATCATTTTATTCTTGTAACTGCTAGATGTAACCGTAAGTTCTATGCTAACAGTTTCTTCTATAGTACTTTTCGCTTATGGAACATTCATCCGTTTTCTTGCTTCCTAGTTTGATCGTCACAAATTTAAATGCAATGTCAATCGTTATCTTCCGTCCCCTTAAAAGCTGTTCTTTTATTGTTTTCGTTCCTTAATAATGTTTTTCATATATTTTTTTCAAGCTCAGTAACTCCATAAATGTTAGTGGATCTGTTACCTTGATTGAATTGAAATTATTAAAATAAAGACGTAAATGTAACCGACTCGACTAGAATTTGGATCTCCAATTTTATCATTTATATCATTCACATATCCTTTTTTTCAGGAATGTATGACATAATTGACTTGGTAAATAATATTTTCTCATAAATTTAAAGATAATCAATCCATCTTTAGAATAAATTCAACAAATATAAACATACATATAAATATGAGAACGATATATAAATTTTTATATATGAAGAAAATTCTTTTGGGGAAAAAATATATGACAAAGTGGGAAAAAGTTTTCATGCGATGCGTTTTGTCCGATGAAGCCCTAAATGACGAAACACGTCACACGAAAATGTCTACCACTGTGTCGTATATCATCATCATCATCATCGTCATCATCATCATCATCATGTCGTGAATTTTTCTCAGATGCTCCTGAGTCGTTCCTTCCAACCATCTCTGTCTGACATCGCTGTCGTCAGGTCCTCCAGATGGCATCCAGAATCATCTACAATTTGGTCAATGTAGGTGTGATGAGGTCTTCCAGCCGATCTATTGCCGCATAATGAGCTCCATAGGTGGGTATCACTCACAAGTTCTGACTTACTTCTCCAGGAGTGACCAGCTAGCCGAAGCGCGCGCACGATCTCTCTCTCTCTCTCTCTCTCTCTCTCTCTCTCTCTCCCTATCTCTCTCCCACTCTTTATCTCTCTCTCTCTCTTTCTCTCTCTCTCTCTCTCTCAACGAAAATGAGCTAGAAAAAAGGTGTCCATACAGGCGTTTCTTTGTTGGGTGTTTCTTCCAGCTGATATCCAATGCGAACTCGTAACATCTTTGTCTATGTTCCGTCAAGTGATGCTTCTTGGTGTTTTGTTAGTCTCCACATTGTTGAGCCGTAGAGCAAGACAGATTGTACCGTGGCCTTAAAGAAGTCCATTTCACAATTCACTTTAAAGAAGTCCATTGTCACACTTCACTTTGAGGTTGGAATTTAACATTCAAAGAAGCTCTGGTCCATGAAATCGCAATAGTAGCCCTGTTTAGTTTAAGTGCTTCATAGATTTTGAGTGGTTCAATAATTGTTTGGTCATCAATTTCAGCCTATATCATACCATTGACTCCTCCTTGCTGCCTTCTTTTAGCCACAGGCACATCTGTATCGCATAATATCCATTCTTTAGACCAACCATCAGGACCATCTAGTGTCATCTCTCTCTCTCTCTCTCTCTCTCTCTCTCTCTCTCTCTCTCTCTCTCTAAGGAAGCTAACCAGAGATGATAAAAATGTAAATAGAATTAAATAAACAAATAATAAATTTTGTTCCGTGTTGGTTAGTTGCTTTTAATATAGAAGGCCTCGACAATTTGAAGTTTTTGCCTATTATTTTCATTCTGTAGCATATTGGTGTTATCAAGTATTTTCATATATATATATATATATATATATATATATATATATATAGTCATCCAAAGACAGACTGTTTCGCTCTATCACAGCTCATCAGTGTGGTAGACGTCCGGTTGCCACTAGCTAGGATCGAAGCTGAATTGGTGTCAGTTGGGGGATTCTAACCCTAAGCTGTTGGCGCACGGCATGGTTGTCGGTGAATTTAAATGTAATTATTTATAGATAAACGCAGTGTCGGAGAGAACTCGATTCGCTTTAACGAAGATTCTTGCATTATTACCAGTAATAGTCACTGTTTGCAAACTCATTTCCTCCCAAAGAGCTCAACTGAAATAAATCTTTCAGGAATATATATATATATATATATATATATATATATATATATATATATATATATGTGTGTGTGTGTGTGTGTGTGTGTGTGTGTATGTATGTAAGTGTAAAATATATAGAAAAACAGGAAAGAACTCGTTAGGTAAATAATCTAATGTTCTTTAGTATTTTTCTTATTATTTTTTAAAAATAGTGCTCGATTCAAAAGTAGAGCATAAATATAATTATTTATTTAAAAATATGATTCCAACGCTACATAAGAGTTCTCATGTTTCAAAACAAGAGCCGAAAACTTCAATATAATTATTTGAATTAAATTGAATTATAGTATCAAGCTCTGTTCCATCTTCAAGCGAATTTTTTTTTAGATTCCCCCAAAAATTTCGCTTTATGATGGAACAGAGCTTGGTATTTAATTCAATTTAATTTAAATAATTACATTGAAATTTTCGGGTCTGGTTTTGAAACATGAGAACTCTTATGTAGCGCTGGAAACAAATTTTGTAAAAATAATTATATATATATATATATATATATATATATATATATATATATATATATATTGTATATTTAGGCAGAAATCCTTTATTTATATGCATGTTTCGTTAAAAACGAAATTATATATATATATAATTGTAAAAATATTTCGGCTTTGACATTCGTCAAAAAGACGGGTGGAGTGTATAAAAGCCGAAACTTTGGAATAATGATCAGGAAACAAATTTCAAATCTATCACATCTCTTGTCAGGGTAAGAGCAATAGATTTTTACAAGCTTACATTTATATAGAATTACCTACGGCTTCAATGCACGTGATACATGACTGACCAATAGAAATCGATCCAAACTGGGTTTTTTCTCAATCTCTGACAAAGATGTAATAAATGTGAAACATTTTAGATTTATAAACTTTTGTTCTTTATCTTATATATATATATATATATATATATATATATATATATGCAGCATATTTTCATACAAGTATGTTTCATTGAATAATATAGACATTATATCTTTAATCTTATAATAATCCTAAAAGTTTAAAAATTATCCGTTGTAGTTTTGGTGTTTTTAATTTTTCTTTTTTTTTTTTTTTTTGCCCGCGTCCCAATATATGGAAGGAAACGAGAGATGGTAAAAATAAAAATGGCATTAAATTTTGGTCAAATGCATTTTAAATAATAAATTTTGTTCACCGTTGGTTGGTGCTTTTGATATAGAGGGGCTCGAAAATTTGAAGTTTTTGCCTATCATTTTCATGGAGTATATTTTCTGTATATATATATATATATTATAATAATATTTCTTCTTAGAAATTTAGTGAAAAAGACGGCTGGAGAGTGTAGCGGCCGAAGGTGGGATAAAGATCAGGAAACAAAGTTCAAAACTATCACATGTCTTGTCAGCGTAAGAGCAATAGATTTACTATGGCAAACATCTCAAGTTATTTTCTCACGAGTATTTTAAATACATTCATCTCTCGTTCGCTTAGAGTGCTTATTAAGTCATTGGGTTGCTGACTCGAGTTCTAATATGATCATTACCAGATTAAACAGTTGAACAGCTTTTCAATGATACTTTTATAAGTGATGCGTTTCTGAATATGTACAATTGATCGCTTTGACACATTTTCCCGTGACATATTGCAACGCAGTCAGCGTCATTCCGATACACGTCTGGCTGGGTAAGATTTTTATATGAATGCATCTACAAACGAATGGATTTTTTTCTGTGTTCCTTTCTAAAACTAGCCGAATATACGTCCCCACCGAGAAAGAGAAAATTAAATGGTAACAGACGTTTTCTCTGTTTCGTTTTTTTGTTTGTTTTTGTTTTTTTGTTTTGTTTTTTATCAATATAAAACAATTAAATCAACAACTGTAGCTCAGCCTATTTAAATAACTAATTACACTATTTACATTGTTCGGACTGTTGTCTTCATCTTTACTGTCATATGCAAGACTTTGCGGCCGTTGAATGCCTGGGCCTTCTTGAGGGGATAAGCCTTGGAATTTTGGACCGAATCGTTTATATTCGTCCACGGGGGTAGATTGTTCTAGTTCCACGTGGCACGCCTTTTCTGGATATCTCAGCTTCAGTTATTTCCCTTTTTTAGTTTGTGTTCATCTCTGCCGTGGCCAGGTAATGAACTGACAAATCTTTGGCTCAAGTCATCGGATTAGTTCAACCGACGCTTTCAATTTAAGTTATTTCCCTTTAGTAACACACCTCGCTAAGTTTTTTTTTTTTTTTTTTTTACCTCTGCTGGGACTAGATTTTGAACTCACAACACTTTGTGTCAAATAACAGTATTACTTCAAAAAGGTAATTAAAAACAAATAGCTTACACGCACTGAAATATTTTTTTATTAAATACGAAAAATGTTATTTAAATATTTTCAAACTTTCAATGAAAACCAATTAAAATAAAATTTAAATTCCGTATATTTAATTAATTTTGTGATGTCTTTATTAATAATAATTAAAAATAACTTATGTTCGTATTAATAATAATTAAAAATTAATTCAGCAAACTTACTATTTTTTCAAATGTTTAAATAATTCGGATCAATTGTAACAAAATAGAATTAAGAGTAATTCTTTAGATTTGGATAATCCCCCTTTTTTTAGGTATTTTTTTTTTAGATTCCTCTCGACTAATTTGTAGTAATGGCAGACGACAATAATGGTTTTGCGAGCGCTGCAGGAAATATGATCGTAACTATCTTTGCGGGTTTAAAATTCTGTGAAAATTTGCTTTCTTAAAAAATTATTTACTTTACGTCTATTTTTACAAAAAACTTATTTTTAGAAGCCATATGTAAGTTTATTTTACGTTTTCTTTAAAT